ACCAACTTCCTGCTCCTGGATCAGGGCCAGGCATGCCCCCTTCCCTCCTTGTGGAACCAAGTTGGGGCCTAGCCACTCCCCTTTCCCTGCCGTTGGGGCTGGGCCATGCAAACCTTTCCCCTATCCCAGGGGCAGGCCATGCCCCCTTCCCTCCTGTTGGGGTTGGGCCTTGCACCCTTTCCCCTGTGGGGCCAGGTTGAGGCCTGGCCATGCCCCTTTTGCTCTCCAAAGGACCAAGTCAAGTTCCTTTCCTCTGTGAGGCTGCCCCCCCCCCCCACCTCCACATGGCCAGATGGTGCCTGCCATGCCCACCTGGCACTGAATCAGGTGCACTGGCTGGATTTGGCCTGCAGACAGACTGGGTACTGCCAGTCCAGCCTGCTGGGCAAAAAGGTTGAGCACCAGCAAGGTAGATGAAGAGTATAGACTAACACATTTGGAGCCATTTCAAAATAGGAATATTTCCACAGGGCAGCAGCTGTTTCATTCTAATCGCTACCTGTGGACAAGCTGGGAATGACACAAATATAGCAAGACCAAACCAACTTTAACACTGCATCATCCAGGGTTCAAGTTTGGTTGATTTTGCTGCATTGCTATGATTCTTGGCTTGTCTGTGTCACAGTTAGAACCTAACAGCTGCTACCCTTCTGAAACGGCTCCAGATGTACATGTCTGTTCCCTGACTGGTTCAGTGACTCAGGAGCTTTTATAGGCAACAGCCTACTTTGTCACAGCAGAATAGATTGGCAGAAAGAAAAGCTTATATAGAAGGGAAAGGGCCTGGAAGAAGGGATGCAGCTAACAGAGGTAATAAGTGGATTGATTAGATTAGTTTAGGTGCACAAGGTAGGCAATACCTGGAGGAAAACCAGAGTCAACAGATAGTCCAAATAACGGGTAAGACACTGTGGCCCCTGAGGCTGATTAATACGATCAAATCTGCAGATTATGTCTTGGTCTCTGATTTCATGTCCAGGTTGTTTTTATTTTATTTTTTTTAATTGAGGGATAGCTACTCTGAAGTCAGCAATGAAACATCCAGGGAGGTTAAAATGTTCTGCCCCCAGCTTTGTGTGTTTCTGGAACCGATGTGGAATCAGTGTCCATTTGTGCTTTTGCGTCGGGATTAGCCCACTTGGCTAGTGTAGACAGCAAAGTGGCACTATAAGTAGGTGATGGCCAAGGTGACATTGGTGCAGGTGTATATGATGTTGGCATCCTGTCTTCCTGATTCCTTTCCTGTGTGTGTGTGTGTGTGTGTGTGTGTGTGTGTGTGTGCGCGCGTGCACATTTATAAATAAAAAACAGCTTTTCTTTCTGCCAGCCCTTTCATAGCATCCCCTGACAAAATAGGTTATTGCTTACAAAAGCTTAAGCTTATCTGAATCAGTCAGCCTCTAAGCTTCCATTTTACCCTACTTTCTGTCTGACTTCAGAGTAACATAGCTTTGCCACCTCTGGGGCAGAATATGCAACAGAGGAAACTTAGGGCATGTCTACATTTCAGCAGCAGAGTGCTAGACAGAGCCTGTCTACCTGCTCCTGCTGA